GTTCATCATGAAATTTACACATAATCCAAAGGACAACAGGCTTTTTTTTCAAATTATGTCAAATACTAAAAACTCAAAATTGAAAAATGTAAAAAATGGAGATACGAGGTTTTCTTCTGGCAATAACATATATATATATATATATATATATATATATATATATATATATATATATATATATATTTTAATATGTGAAAAACTGAAAAATGACAAAAATGGAGGTACAAGGTAGGAATTTCATCCCAAATTCCAACAGGGGAAAACAAAGCTTCCTTATAAAAAAAATGCAAAAACTAGAAATTTTCCAGTATAAGAAGCCCAATAATGTAATAAGATACTAAAAATAGTTAACATGAAGATGTAACAACTTACCAAGGATGTAATAAGGTATTACATTATTTATAAAATTATTTCAGTTCAGATATACTAGGAAAAGTATTACATTATTGGGTTTTATTACATTTTTAACAAGTTAAGCACAACATTGTCTTACATTTTTGGGAAATTATTACATTACTTGGATCTACAGTGCAGCCTTAAAAATGAACTGAAATCAAATACCAAAATAAAAAACTGAAGAACACTAAGAACTGATAAAATTGTCAATATTACTGTATGAATGTGTTTGCATGTATGAACTGACTGAAGCTGGATTTTTGGAGAGGATCTCTTGGTGAGATTGGGCTCATTCTGAATCCCTTTAAAAGTAGGCTCTCTAACCCTTCCTCAGCCGGCTCTTATCTCTGCCTCTCATTCATCGTCTCAAACTTTCTCTCAAAGGGCAGCCGCTTGAGCGCCCGTCACCCTTCTGCCCTCTCTCTCTCTCCACATCCTCTCTGAATAAGTGCACTGCTGCTACCACACTTTTTCAGGTCTGCCCTTTAAACAGCCTGTCCGCACCGAATATGCGCTGTGTTCCATTTCACACAACGAGTTTCAAACTATACCCTCGCTTTCTTACTTCACTTGTAATATAGATCACATTAATGTAGCCTTAATAGACCAGACATATTATTTATATGGGCAGCGCTCTATTTTGCTCTGCTAGTTTAACACTAGGCTCTACACCCTCCCTTGAACCCTGCACTTATTGATATAAATCACACTACCAGTTTCACACTAGACCCTACACCCTCCCCAGAACCCTTGAAGTGTTAATCTAAATCACATTAATGTGGCCTTATAAGACCAGACGTGTTATTTATATGGGCATCGCTCTATTTTGTACTGCTAATTTCACACTAGTCCCTACAACCTACCCAGAACCCTTCACTTCTTAATATAAATCACACTACCAGTTTCACACTAGACCCTACACCCCCACTTGCATGCTTCACTTGTAATATAGATCACATTAATGTGGCCTTATTAGACCAGACGTATTATTTAATGGGCAGCGCCCTATTTTGTTCTGCTAGTTTCACACTAGGCCCTACACCCTCACTAAAACCCTTCAAGTGTTAATGTAAGTCACGTTAATGTGGCCCTATAAGACCAGATGTATTATTTATAAGGGCAGCGCCCTATTTTGTTCTGCTAGTTTCACACTAGGCCCTACACCCTCCTTTGAACCCTTCACTTATTAAAATAAAACACATTATTGTGGGCTCACTGTTTCTCACTAGACCCTACACCCTTATTTGCTTCCTTTACTTGTAATAGAGCTTAGATTAATGTGAGCTTGTTAGATCAGGAAGATTTCAGGTGGTGCCATGAAATGATAGATTACTAATATGAGTGTTTCATTTCATACTACTAGTTTCTCACTAGGCCCTATACCCCTTTTTTCCCTTTCCTAATTAATATAGTTTAGATTGGGCCTATTGCATAGGGCCTAGCTAAGATTTCATGGTTCTGAATCTTTCAGGTATTATTTATATGGGCAGTATTTTATTTCATACAATGTTTTTCTCACTAGAATCCTTGTTTGCTTCCTTGTTAATACAGGTGAGACTAATGTGGGCCTATTAGATAGGTCCTACACAGGGCTGCATTTATTGAAGGTTTTTGTAGATGTGGTATTATTTATAGAACACCCTCATCTATCCCCTTCACTTGTTAATATAGATTAGATTAATGCGGGCCTATTAGATCTGGCCTATCTAATTAAAGATTTTGGAGGGTTGCCATCATACATTATTATTTAACTGTTTGGTGTTCCATTTCACAGTACAGTCTCACAATACACCCTATACCCGCACCCTTCATTTGGAAATATAGATAAGATTTATTTTAAGATATTTAAGATATTGTGGATCTATTAGATTTGGCCTAGGCTGTATAGATTGAAAGGGAGGGCCTGCATTGATTAATCTTATTTGTTTGGCCAACATTTTATTTATACTACCAGTTTCTCACTAGACCCTACACCCTCATCTGCATTTTCACTAGTTGTTATATATTACATTAATGTGGACCTAGTAGATTTGTTTGATCTAAGGCTGTACAGATTGAAACATGTTTGGTGGGGTGGGATAGTACCATTATATTATTCATATGGGCAGCGTTCCATTTCACACTACCAGTTTCTCACTATGCCCTATACCCCTTTTGTCCTTTTCTAATTAATATAGTTCAGATTGGGCCTATTGGATAGGGCCTAGCTAAGCTTAGAAGCCTAGTTAAGACTTCATGGATCTTTCAGGTTGGTTCCATGATATAATATTATTTATAGGGGCAGTATTTTATTTCATACAATGTTTCTCACTAGAACCCTTGTTTGCTTTCCTTGTTAATACAGATTAGACTAATGTGGGCCTGTTAGATAGGGCCTACATAGAGCTGCAGTTTATTAAGGATTTTTGTAGATGTGGTATTATTTATAGGACAGCCTATATGTATTATTGTGGGCCTATTAGATTAGGTCTAGGCTGTATAGATTGAAAGGGAGGGATTGCAATGATGTAATATTATTTGTATGGCCAACATTTTATTTACACTACCAGTTTCTCACTAGACCCCACACCCTCATCTGCATTTTTCACTTGTTGTTATATATTACATTAATGTGGACCTAGTAACTTTGGTTGATCTAAGGCTGTATAGATTGAAAAAAATGTTTGGTAGGGTGGGATAGTACCATGATATAACATTATTCATATGGGCAGTGTTCCATTTCACACTACCAGTTCCTCACTAGGCCCTATACCCCTTTTTTCCTTTCCTAATTTGTATAGTTTAGATTGGGCCTATTTGAATAGAGCCTAGCTAAGCTTTCATAGATTCAGGATCTTTCAGGTTGGTTCCATGATATAATATTATTTATATGGGCAGTATTTCATTTCATACAATGTTTTTCACTAGACCCCTTGTTTGCTTCCTTGTTAATACAGATTAGACTAATGTGGGCCTATTAGATAGGGCCTACATGGGGCTGCATTTATTGAAGATTTTTGTAGATGTGGTTTTATTTATAGGACAGCCTTTATGTATTATAGATTTGGTCTAGGCTGTATAGATTGAAATGGAGGGACTGCAATGATGTAATATTATTTATATGGGCAGCGTTCCATTTCATACTACCAGTTTCTCACTACACCCTACAGTGTCACCTGAACCCTTCACTTGTTAGCATATATTACACTACTGCACAGCTAATATGCAAGGTCTATCCAAGGCTGTATATGTTGATACATTTCAGATCTATTTTTGAAGGGGATGTCATGTTAAAATATTATTTACATGGGCTGTGTTCCATTTCACAACACCAGTTTCACCTTAGACCCTCCACCTGTTAATGTGGATTAGATTAATGTTGGCCTATTAGACCAGGCCTAAGGCTTCATTGATTTAAGATTTTTTATGGGGTGCTATGATATAATATTATTGATATGGGCAACGTTTCATATCATGCCCCCTGTTTTACATTAGACCCTACACCCTTCACTTCTTAATGTAGATTAGATTAATGTGGGCCTATTAAGTTGGGCCCATCCAGGAGTTCATAGATTGAAGATTTTTTGCCATAATATAATATTATTTATATGGGCAGCATTCCAATTTCATACTCCACTGCTATGCCCCTTACTCCCTCATTTGTTCCCTTCACTTGCTAAAATAGATTAGGTTAGAGGACTAATGAGGGCTTGTGTGTGGCTGCAGATTGGAATGCCTTTTTTTTCCCCTTTTTTTGTGAATGCTACATGCTCTCCGTGGATCCTGGGATATAATTGGAGGCAGTTAGGGGTATAATGTTGACAATAATCACACCAATAACAACCAGCGTCTCTGACTCGGGCCACAGACTTCATTTGCACAAGCTGGAAAATAATTGGAGTTCCCTAGTGAGCCTGCTTAATGCTAGACTGCATCCACAGCCCAGACCCAAAGCTTGGCTTCTGCATGTTCATTTGCATACTCCGTATTGTGGGCTGTATGTGTGCGTATGAGTGTGTGTGTGAGTGTGTGTGTGTGGTCCCCTAGTGTGCCTGTGGTCGACACAGAGTGTGAGAGAAGTGTAAAAATGGAAATATTTGAAGTTGAATTGAATTAGTACACATCCTTTAGAGACTGAAAACTTGCCCTTCAGTTTGTTTGTAATAGTTGTCAAGTGCTTCTGTAGGTGTAAACATACAAGCACACACACTTAAACAGTTGTTGTTTGTTTAAATTAGGCCTGTCTAAGTTAATGTGTTTATAATGCATTAATAACACATTTTTAACACATTAATAATGCATTAGTGTGATTTCAACATGTTAATGACATGTTTATTCTGCGTCAATACGTATTAATAATTAATGAGACTTTAATGTGATATGCGTAATATATATTAAGTATTAAACACAATAAACATGCTAAATTATTTAGCATTTTAATGCTTTTTATTATTTTATAGTTTTTTTTTTGTTTTTTTTTCTGAAGAAAAACATTGAATTGACTAAGACTAACATTTAAGTGAACAAATATTAAGATGAGTTCTGAGAAACCAGCACTGTTAAAGGTCTTGATGGTCAGATTTGATCTGATCAAAGGTCTGATATCTCTTCCTGTCCTCTCTCAGGTCCTCTCCGGGTGGTGGTCCCCACTGAGTCCGTCTCGTCGTTCATGGGCGATACGGCACTGCTACGCTGCGAGGTAACAGGAGAGCCGATGCCGGTGGTCCGCTGGCAGAAGAACCGCGTAGACCTGCCCACGGCTTTTGACCTGGACAGCCGGGTGGTGGTGCTGCCGTCTGGCTCACTGCAAGTCAGCAGGGTCCAGCCACCGGACTCCGCCACATATCGCTGCCTGGCAGAAAATCCAGGGAGTGCCCGCACAGGCACCGATGCTGACCTGAGGGTTTTGCCTGGTGAGTCCAGCACTGCACGATTAAATGACTATTGCATATTTTAAAACATGTCTATTTGCCATGTCTTCATTTTCAAAGCATTTTAGGCCACATGTTGTGTGCCCATTGAAAATATGGGCATAGCCAAAAGCCACTCATGCATCCTCTTGTTATGGTGTTATAATACTAGATTATAATAGTATTACTAGTAAAAGTAGTATTGGTGGCAGTAGTTGTAGCTGTAGTCAGCAGTAGTAGCAGTAGAAGTAATGTAAGTCCCAGCAGTACTATTTGTATTAGTTGGGGTAATAGTAGTAGTTCCGTAGTAGTAGTTATGAGTTGTACTAGTCATAGTAGTAACAGTACTATTGGTTATAAAAGTGGTATTATTAGCAGTAGTAACAGTAATATTCATTTTAATAGTAGTAGTAGTACTATAAGTAGTAACAGTACTAATAAATATATTACTAGTACTAGTAGCAGGAGTGGTAAGAGTACTATGGGTTATAATAGTAGTACTATTAGTATTAGTCACAGTAGTATAATAGTAGCACTATCATTAGTAGTAACAGCACTATTGATTATAATACTAGTAGTAGTAGTAGTCACAGTAATATTAGTTATAATAGTAGTAGTAACAGTAATATTATTTATAGTCGTAGTACTACTAGTAGTAGTGACTAATATGGGATAAAATGGCAATGCTACTACTAGTAGTAGTAACAGTACCACTGGTTATAATGGTAGTACTACTACTTGCAGTATTAATAGCAGTAACAGTACTACTAGTTACAATACCATTACTACTAGTAGTAGTAAGAGTACTATTGTTTATAATACTAGTGCTGCTAGTAGTGGTAACAGTGATATAGGTTATAATACTAGGGCTACTAGTAGTAAAAAACAGTAGTATCAGCCGTAATAATAGTACTTGTAGTACAAGTAACAGTATTTGTTATCATAGTTTCACTATGAATAGTAGTAATAGTGGTTATAACAGTAGTAGCACCAATAGCGAACTATGACTATTAGAGCTAGACCAAAATGGGATTACTTAGCACTAAAGTAATTAGAATTCACATGAACAGTTTTTTTGGCCATTCTAGATTAAACACAGTTTATAAAAGACATTTGAAGCTTCTAATATATGCATTAATATATATTTCCTTATATGTTGTAGCTTTAAAACGACTCTTGCAGTAACAAGCTCTGGTGTAGAGCTTCTGCTGTTTTCCATTTGGAATAACTGATTGAAACCTGATTAGACTACCACTCATATTGTACAAGACTAGCATGACTTTTTTTCTCAGTAAATTGATCTTGAGTAAATCATACCATTGTAAATCAAAGCATAATTGGTAAATTGCTCACTTGGCTTTACCTACCTAAATACCACAGAGAAAAAAAATGCTGATTGGATCGTTTTCTGTTGGGCATTTCGAGAGTTGAACCCTTTCATTTCCAAACAAAACAATGAAAGAAGTACATGTTGGGTTTAAATACAACAAAAATTATGATTCTGCTAAATAAGAATGAACTAAAACTTTCAGACGAGTATTTGTTTTTATTTCACAGAACCTCTTTGAAGGCCATAAGTGTTCCCCATTGAGTAGTAGAAGTAGTAGTAGAGTTCATACTCACGCTATTAGAAGCAGTAGTAGTTGTAGACAAAGCTGCACAGTGTGGAGAAACATCTTAACGAGTTCTCTTGCTCTCCTGGGTGCAGTAGGCATATGCACACTGACACTGTTCTATCAGTGCTCAGTGATTGAGACAAATGTCTCCCATCACTGCACGTCTTCCTTTATTTGTGCAGGTTTGCATGAGCCAGATGCATTTCATCAATCTCCTGCTAGTTAGAAGCTGCTTAAAGATCACATTTCACATCTGCCGCTTGCGTGAAGCCCATTTTTATCTGCTCGAGCACAAAGCAGGCCTCAGCTTTTCCTGCTCGTAAAGATAAGAGTCACTCGAGTGATTTTCTGTTCTGGGACTTGATGCTTATTTAACTCAGCTCAACTGTACTCAACTATTTTCTTTGCGCTAGCACATCTGAAATAACTCCTGAGCTGTTTATTAATGTGTCAGGGACCAAATAAGCAAGTCTATTTGAGATTACTTAACAACGGGCACGTGTGTTATGATTTAACCTATTAAAAAACTCAGTCTTATTACATACTAAGGCTTATTATTCAGTAACTACAGGGACTTCAATGAAAACTGGCTGAGCTATTCTTAGGATATAGAAGTGTGTAATATAACTCTGAGGCAGTTTTTGGGCAGTTTTTCCGATGATAATTTGTAGTGTTAGCTTCCTTACTCATTTGCCACATTAGCCTCACAGCTCCAGCACAAAACTAAACAAGCCCACTTCTGACACCAATGTATCTTGGCTGATTGACAGTGTTTGAGATAGGGGTGGAAAGCCTATTTCTGCAGACTCCCTAGTGACTGTTCTGTTGGTGAACCGGAAATTCACTTGCATATTTGTAATTAATTTAATCAGTTAATTTAATAAGCTCTTTTTTATGGGGTGCATTGAGCTGTGTGTGTTGAGCTGCTAGTAAGCAATGAGGAGTGAAAAGAGAAGTGTTTCAATCAGGTAAAACAACACAGTGCAACTCATTAGCATAGAATTGTAGCCTCTTTCTGCAGACCTTTCTGGCAAATCTAGTTGGATATTCTTTTAATTTGTATAATTAGATAGAATATTTCCCCAATAACTCTGATCTTATCAGAATAGCTAGGACACAATTGGCTCTATGCATGAAAGTTGTGTTAAGCTGCTAGCGAGCAGTGAGAGTGCAGCTTTCTTGATATTAAAACATTTGTGTACAAGTGCACTGTAAAAATATATTAAATAATATTATTAAAATAACGCCCTGCGATGGACTGGCGACCTGTCCAGGGTGTATCCTGCCTTCCGCCCAATGACAGCTGGGATAGGCTCCAGCACCCCACCGTGACCCAGAAGGATAAGTGGTTTAGATGATGGATGGATGGATTATTAAAATAACTTGCTTGTAAACATACAAAGATGACAATCCAGTTTAGATTTATATATCATCCACATTTCCATGCAAGCTTTGCATTTTATGGCTATTTAAAGTCTTTTGTGTGGTGAGTCAGGTGTGTTCATCAGGGCTGCCCTATAGCATTTGTTAATTTGCTATTGCAGTATTGGCCTATGTAACGCATCCTGGCCAATCTCCACTCCAGATGAGTGTCCAGTGGGTGTTCCTATGAGATTAATCAAGGTACTCATGTAACAAATCCATCCATCCATCCATCCATCCATCCATCATCTAAACCGCTTATCCTTCTGGGTCGCGGTGGGGTGCCATTGGGCGGAAGGCAGGACACACCCCGGACAGGTCGCCAGGCCATCGCAGGGCAGACAGACAGACATACACATTCACACTCACTCACACCTAGGGGCAATTCAGCACGTCCAATCAGCCTGACTGCATGTTTTTGGACTGTGGGAGGAAACCGGAGTTCCCGGAGGAAACCCACGCAGACACGGGGAGAACAGGCAAACTCCACACAGAAATGACCCTGGTCACCTGGCCGGGAATCGAACCCAGGCCCTTCTTGTTGTGAGGCGACAGCGCTGCCCACTGTGCCACCGTGCCGCCCGTAACAAATCCAACAAAACAAAATTATTTTCATCAAAATACAGCAGGCCAGTCTTTAAAAAGGTCACATTATTGATTCACTCATGCAGTTTTAATGTATTCCAAGGTGTATCACAATCACAATATGCAGCAGTGGAATCGTAATATGAGTATTTTATCCGTATCGTGCAGCCCTTGAGCTCAGGCAAAGAGAACACAGAGCCGCAGTAGCGTTTTCGAGACTGCGGCTCGGAATGCAGGTTTTTAAAGTGGAATGAATAAGTATTATTAGGATGTGGAATGTGATGGCGGCTGCAGTCCCTTTGCTGCATCTAACGCTGTGACAGCTGGTGGGGGTTGTGTGGATTCCCCTGATTCTTCACGCCGTGAACAAGAATGCATTAAGCTGCTCACCTCTCCGCCACACACACTCACAGCCCCATTACAGCGCTGCTCTGCGTCGGAGGATTTCAGCTTTGCTGCCACCTGCAAACTGCATCTCAGGCTGGCTGAACAATAAGAAAAAGGAAAAACCAGACTCAACTGTAATGTACTTTAATGTAATGAGATTTGATTCCAATCCATTTTGGACTATTTCTATTGGTCCATCTATTGTTATCCCACACGGTTGGGTAGTGACGGAATATATGTAATGGTGTTGTGTAATCAGGATACAGAAAAAAAAAACAAACAAACCTGTACTGTATTCAGTAATCAGATTATAGGTACATTGTAAAAACAGGGTGATTACCAGCAGGATTACATTTCAAAGGCAAATCATAATTTGTTTCACTGAAATTTGATGTTTAAATGATAAATATATCACGAGTTATGCAGATTTAAAGAGTTTTAAATTCTGCCAGGACAGAATTGTGGAGACTTCCCTGCCCATCAGTGGATCCCGGTGTTTTATTCAGCTGATCTAAAGAATTTTTCTTCAGTATTTCATTTGTATTGGCAGAACATTGAGATCTGCAGCGTTTTCCTGAGATATTTCAATCAGGCTTTTCAGCTGGATTTCCACATCACCGGATTCTACAGCAGCAGACTGATCTGATCGATCTGATTGGACAGTAAACTCTTTATTGTCATTTGTTGCTCTGTAAAATTCCTCAAATTGACTGGCTTTAAATTAAAAATGTACAAACCTTAACTTGACAGGTTTAACTAACAGTCTGAAACATGAAAAGAGAGCGAATTAAGTCTCATGAGCAGAAAAGCTAGTTTTGTTATCACTCGTATGATTTCTTTCTTCAGTCACATACAGAAATATTGTATTTATGCATGTTATATTTGTTAGAAATAAAGGTTCTGTGCAGGTATATTTTTCGTTCATCAAGGTACAAACAGTGTAAATGTTCCCTCAAAGGTTCAACAGTGGTTTTAAGGTCTGATTGTGAACCTTAAATAAGTTTTTCCAGGTGAAAAGTTTGTATTTGTACCTTTTCATAACCGAATGTTTTAAACAGAACAGTAAAATAAAGTCCTGGAGACGAGACGGGGTGTGTGGAGTCAGTACAGCTTAGAACATATCATTTCAGTGGATTATGGTTCAGTTATGTTCCCTGACTAAAGGTACTGAGATAAACCCTGAGGGTATTTATATAGTTTTCATACCTTTATTTTTGAGAGTGTGTAGATTCATACACTCAAGATTATTGTAAAGGTACTTTGTTGCTGTTTTTTTTACATTGATTTTGACATTTTATAGGCTTAATGGACACAGTTCACTGCTGACAGAGGTGGATAAAGCAGTATTCACACTATGTGGTGCCCTGTACAGCTGCAAGATTGAACTACTCCAGCACTCAACACTAAAGTGAACGAGTGCAGAAAACGCTGGCAGGGCTTTACTTTCTCACACTGAACTCGTCCACCTCTGACGACAAACTCTATGCATCCTGTGTTTGTGCCTCATTGTGATCTGACAGCTATAAATGGCTGAAAACACACAAACACACCAAAAACCCAAAGCTGAACCACAGGTGAAATACAGCTGACAGATAGAGAACTCTGCATTGTACAGAGAAAGTGAGAGGGAGAGAGAGAGAGAGAGAAACATCAACCAGAAGGATGGTGTAAACACAGTGAGGGAGTGGACAGAGGTCAGATGTGCTGCTGCAGGGCTCTGAGTGTCTGACTGGATGAGTGTCAGATCAATCAGTGTCCTCAGCTCAGATACACTACAGAATACAATCAGAGCAGAAATCTAAATTACAGCTAGTGAAGTGAAACCACTCCCCCTGGACCTGATATATATATAGAGAAAGAAAGAGGGAGAGAGAGAAAAAGGAGGGGGGAATGGCAGAGATGAAGAAAAAAGGAAGGATAAGAAATAAAGAGAAAAAGAAAAACAGTGAAAAAGAGAGGAAGAAAATAGAAAGAAAGACAAATAAAACAAAAAAATAAGAAATAAGAGAAAGACAGAGTGAGAGAGGAAGACCAACAGAGGAAAGAGAGTGGGATAATAAACAATTCACAGAAAGAAATGGGAGTGAGAAATGGAGAAAGAAAGAAAGAAAGAGAGATGAGAACAGAGAGAAAGACAGAGAGAGAGAAGGAGAGACAGATGGAGAGAGAGAGGAGAGATATGGAGAGAGAGAGAGAGAGACAGATGGAGAGAGAGAGAGAGAGACAGATGGAGAGAGAGAGAGGGGGGGATACATACGGAGAGAGAGAGAGACAGACAGACAGACGGAGAGAGAGAGAGAGACAGACGGAGAGAGAGAGAGAGACAGAGAGAGAGAGAGAGAGACAGAGAGAGGTGTGGATCTCAGCTCTGGGGGTGGTAGTGAGCGTGTGCTCTGCAGGCTGATGTGATCTGGAACTCTAACGCGCCGCTCTGACTCTCGGCTCATGAGCATCAGCTCAGACTGTCAGCACTTTCAGAGCAGAGAGCAGCGACTCACAGCATCTGGCCTCAGCGTTAGTCACACAGTACAGGATCCATTCAGCCTCACACACTGCACACCCGAGACACACAGGGCCCGAGACCAGCTCAGATCAGACAGCAGAGATACTACATCATTTTGGGTTTGGAATAAACCTCTCATCCTCTGTACCATGGTAAACATCATAGTATGAGTTTCCTGGACTGGTCACCGCTCTCTAAAAGAATCAGCGGTTAGTGTTCTCCTCCAAGCGTGCTGAGCTGTGCAATAATAAAGCAATGAGCCACGAGAGGCTGTGGGTTACTGCGATATTATCATTGGGTCTAAACTCCCTTCCCTGAGATAAAAACGCAGTAACCCACAGCCTCGAGTGTCTTATTGCTTTTATAAAACAGCGGCCAACACAAAATATATTCAAATACACAATGTTTTAGATTATTATTTAAGTTATTTTTGTAATATTTGACATAAACAAGTATTCCTCCAAGAAACATAGCTCGTTTAGAGTACATTATCGTGCTAAGCAACCATTGAAAACTTTTTTTCGTGTAACAGTGAACATATGATAACACAGCACTGTTTAATGCAAACACTTTCAGTTTATAAGTACTTTTTGGTCACCAAATCACCACCGCGAGTCGTCTGCCAGCCTGACGACGCCACTTTTCTCATGCTGGGGCTGAATCTCAAACAGCTCCCTGCTCCCTACATAGTGCACTACGTAGGAATCTAAATACTGACTCCTGCAGCCCAACAGAGCAAAATATCGCTAAAATGGTCATTTGGGACTCATCCACATTCATACTCAACAAGCACTTCATTATTCGACAGCAGAAGCTAGAATTTCTAAACTTAATGTTACACAGCTCACTATTTAGCTAGGGAGTATGAAGCCGTTTGGGACTCAGCCTGGGTTTGACGCTAATTCTGACTGAAACTCGGACATTTGAAGCGTGTGAGACATTCAGGTGACGTTCTTTAGACTTTTATTTTGCCGTTTTTCAGTGAATCATATCCTGAGTACTTTAATTCAGGCCTGTGATATTAATGTTAGAGTTGTTTAGCATGTTTGCTCTCTTTTAGCCTGTTAGCTAGCTGACCAGCCTAGTTCTAGTAAAGAAAATAAGTTTTCAGCCCCTCAGTTTAAACAAAAACAGGTTCTTACTTCATCAGTTCACTCAGTGCTTCGTGTGATCAGCATTAGAGTCAAAGATTCATCCATTAACAGCAGAAGGGTTTTTCGTGCCGTGGTGCAGTGATACAGGGTTCAGTTGCTGTGAGGCGTCATAGGAGTGGTATATCGTGGATTTACAACGGCTTTGAACGCAGCTCAGCCAATCAGAACCACAGTTTTGATTAGCAGATTGGGATCAGTGTCATTTGTTTTTTCAGCTGACACACACTGGCTCTATCAAGTCAAGCATATGATCACTTAAAGGCCTCAATAATTGGTAGCGTCACTTAGAAATCTGTCCAAAATCACACCCCTCACCCTGCTATGGGTTATCGTCTGTCTTTGTTGTATGTAGGGTAGTTTTCCATGCTAAGTGTTGTTTAGACGTGTTTAAGGCTGAAAATCTGTGTGTTTGTTGTGTGCAGAGCCTGGAGTGGTGAGAAACCTAGTGTTCCTCCAAAGGCCGACGAAGGTCACGGCTCTACAGGGCAAAGACGCTGTTCTGGAATGTTCCGCCTCTGGCTACCCCACCCCCTCCTTCTACTGGATGAGGGGCAACGAGATGATCCAGAGCAGGTGAACCACACTGAGATCTTCATCCAATATTTATTATGTAGTTTTTTCCCTTCGGCCTGTTCATCCTTAGTACATATGCTGCTGTTTGAAATTCAGGAATCAATGTTTTATTAATAATTTAAAACTTGAAGACAGATCTATAAAATGATTTCTAATATGATATTAGTATTACAGATTTCAGTTAGCATGATGTTAAACAGATGTGTCCAGAATGATAAACAGAGCTACAGATAATGAAATCGTATAAAATTGAAATGATCATCCAGAATGGCTAGTTATTTAAAATTGAAGCGGATAACTTGACAATAAATGGCTATAAATGGACAATTACAATGTTATTTATTTGATAAAAACTTCTTAATCCTAAAAATACCCTTTAAGGCCCAACAGCACATGCACATTGGGCAACGTCGTTCAGCATAGTTTCGCTTCGCAAGCGCAGCTATCGCCACCTAGTGACAGCGTCAACAAACATCAAGCTTATATCACACTCTACTCTCATAGATTTAATAGAATCAACATATTTCAGAGAAATTATCATGTAACTCCTCACCAGGTCACTGTTTTCAAGCTAAAAATACTGACTTGACTTTCAACATTAGCTGGGAAAGTTTGGGTGGCCCTGGTCAGATGACATGTTGTGCTGATTTTCGAAGTGAAAAAGTTAACATATCCTCTACAGAAAGCAAACTTAAATAGGGAATTTTTGATTTATTTATTTGATACAACATATGACTTGATCATTTGAGGGAACATGCTGGAAAAAGTGAAGTATAAAAAATATCGCTGTTGTCGGAAGAAAACCTCGTATCTCCATTTTTGCTGTTTTTCAGTTTATGCCTGTTGCTCTTTACATTGTGTGTAAATTTCATGATGAATGGACCAAAAGAAACAACTCAAAATGACTTGGAAAAACGTCTGGTTCCTTTGACTTACATTAAAAGTAAAGTAGGTTTTTTCCTTCTCCTGTAAAGTTACCATTTTGGAGATACGAGGTTTTGTCCCATCAACAGCGATATACTATGCCATAACTTTTGCACAGGGCACGTTTTATGTTTTAATTTCTCCTCAATATGTTAAATTTAGCAATGACTGTTATTCTAGGGTTTAATTTAATGCAGTAATAGCAAAATACTGAGAGGAGCTCACGGTAATTGAAGAGTGCCGGAAGTCACCTTCATTAAAAACAATGGTTTCACATGTTCGGACAGTGTGCTGTGGCCTTTAGTGTCTACTTTGTATTACGTTCCACATTAAATAAGTTAATTCTGAATAAAAACAACCCAAAAGTGTTAATACGACAAGTGATTCCAAACGTCTTCCTTTGATTGACACACCTGTTAACCCAGGATTCTGTCTTTCTTTCTCTCTTTTTCTCAGATCGAGAAAGTACTCGCTGCTGGGCGGCAGCAACCTCCTGATCAGCAGCGTGACGGACGACGATTCCGGCACCTACAGCTGCGTAGCGTACAACAAAAATGAAAACATCACCTCTTCCTGCGAACTCTCCATACTAGGTAAGTCCCCAGGTCACCTTTTCTGTTGCTGAATGTCTTGAAGCAAAAATTCAGCAAAAATATACATGATTTTTTTCACTTTCTTCAAATGTAGTCAGTCGCATTTGGTGTCACCTCAAACTGTGCTGAGCTGTAACGTAAGTAGTGCAGTATTCCACACAGTGCTTCAGCACTTTTCACGTATTAGTAGCTGTTGCAAAAATACTCAGCAGTATAGCATGTGATAATTGCTCTGCCTAGCAACCAAAATACATTTTGATTGGTCATATTTGAGCCAATACTTTTAAAGAAATAAGACAAATACTTAATCTGTGTCATCAGTTAGTGCCGTCAGTATTCTGTATACCAGCTTCCACAGAAGGAGCAGTTTTCCATACAGTCATTTTATGTGAAGTGTTATAAAATCTAATTGCATAAAAATAGCCATTTACTGATTATATGTTCTTAAATACTTAATTAATATAAACACTGTATGCAATCAAAGAGGCTACCATGGAAAAAAGCCTAGTATAGTGAGTCAGTGGTGTGAAGCCACACAGCTGCAAGGAGTCTGCTAAGGTAATTAACAACTCAGTATTAAATATACTGTGTTTCATGGTGACAATCTATTGTTTAATATTCGTTTAAGTGTTAAATATGATGTTTAAACATGCTAAAATGCATTTTAACTTGCTGTGAAATTTTTCATCACACCATTCACATTACATTTCACATCCCTGTTTTTCCCCACCCGCCATTTTCGGGTCGCACTGTGGGGGAGGTGGTCACTATTTACACAGATTTTATGTCCAAACTCAGCTTAGATGGTATTGCCAACCGTTTTCATGGAAACAAGGATATATGACAATGTCTTAGATGTATCATTGATAAATGACAAGAAAGTGCTTTTTATTACACAAATAGGAAACGTTGCAATTGTACGGAATACTGTGCTCTTACGTTAATCTGAAATAGACTTGCTTGTGTGGCTTCTAACACAGTATGACATAGTAGGAAGCTACATAGCATAGCTTAAAACAATGACATAGCTACCACTGTTGTCAGAAGAAAATCTCGTATCTCCAAAATAGTAGCTTTACAGGAGAAGGAAAAAACCTACTTTACTTTTAATGTAAGTCAATGGAACCAGACTTTTTTCCAAGTCATTTTGGGCCGTTTCTTTAGGTCCATTCTTCTTGAAATTCACACACAATGTAAAGGGCATAAACAGGCATTTTCAAATTAGGGAGATGCGAGGATTTCTTCCGACAACAGCGATATATATATATATATATATATATATATATATATATAATTGTATATTGCACCGTTCCAATATACAGTTTTTGTACAGTAGTATAAGTTGTGCACTTTTCCATATGTGCAGTATGTGAGTCTGAGGTACATAAATGAGATGCTGGGTACACAGAGGATAGAATACTGATATATAGATATTCTAGATCACAAGATATGGATAGAAGATGTGCAAGATGTCAGTGTATATGTGCAGGTATAGTTTGGCTAGGTAGAAGCTCCAGATCAGAGTGAGTCTGTTTGAGGTGTGGATGTGGTGTAGATTGTCTATGGAGATTCATCATGATGATTCAGAAGTGTAGCGACAGGCCCATAGACCGATACAACAGCAGTACTGGCTAGAATCAGTCCTAGAACAGCTGATAAACCATTAGAATTCCTTACACCGTAACATCTACCCATCAGCAAAACACTGTTAAAAATACCTGAATGAAAAATAATAATAATAATAATAACTATTAAAAATAGTGACTACTGGACAGAAACCAAGAGAAACTTTTAACAGCTTCTATGTTATATATATAAATATTTTTAGCAGTATTTTGGGTAGTTGCTGAGCAGCTATTACATGCTAGCTACTTTAGCCTCATAGCTCCAGTGAAAAACAAAGAAGCAAACTTCAGACAGCCGGCATGTCTTGGCTAATCGACCACATAAATTCGCCAGATTATTCCTTTCAGCTTTATCGCCACACATTCCAGGTTGCTCTGTAGCTCCTAAGGACCAGCCAAGCACTGCTTTAGCTTCACACTGCTAGCCAACTGGGCCCTGAGTGAGGCGAGCAGCCTTGGCAGGCTGATCTCAGATCAGCTCCATGCGGCCCTCGAGGGACTCCAGGAAGCTGCAGGCTGACGACGTGAACTTGTTAGCATTACTCTAGAGGAAAACATTCTCTCGCCGCGGCTTTTTAAAGGCCATCGACGCCGTCTTTGATAAAATACTCACCGCGGGTTGTTTTGCATCAGCGATATTGACACCGGCAGCGAGTGCCGAAACTACCAGCCTCCTTAGCGGCTCTCATTAGCGCGCTACATTGCCTCGCCTTACACTGTTTCTCTGCCTTTTTTGTGTACATTAGTTGGCTGGTGGCCAGTGCTTTGAGAAGGTGGATGTTAGGAAGTATTTAAAGGTAAGGGGGCTTGTAAGGATGGCCCTGGCCTTTCTTTAGCAGGCTGGCTGCTAGAATAGCCATAGCTTGTGATGGGAGGATTTGATCATGATCCCTCATGTTCATCCAGTTGATCTATTCATGCTGTGTCCACAAATGCATTCTTTGGAGCTGTTGCTAGCTTTACAGGATACTGGCATCAATATAATTATAGATTATAGTGCTCCACTCACTGCACTGTCAAAATACCTGTGAATACTGTGCATTATTGATATCAAAGGATAGGTGTTTTGTATGTGTATGAAAGGTTAAACTGTTAGGGTAGATCAGACGTAGCTCCTTTGTTTTTCCATTGGAACCTGCCTCGGTTTATCTAGGAGGTAGGGAGAGAGAGACTATACATTCCTAAAAAAGATGATTCTTCAGGGCTTCTTTAGTAAAGAAAATGGTTCTGTAAAGCATCATGAACACTTGAGGACCCACTGCATGATTAAAGGTTTCTTTGCATCATGAAAAGGTTCTGCAGATTGATGGCAAAGTTGCTGTGGATGGTTCTATACAGAACCTTTTTGAAAAAAGGGTTCTATGTAGCAGCCAAAAGAGCTCTTCTATTGTTACAAGTGTTGTAAGTATTGTAATAAAGTAAGTATTCACTCAGACGAACCAAACAAAGCTAATTAGCGTTCTAGCAAATGGAAAGGGAGTGCTATATACTTATAATTACACTCACTGGCCACATTATTAGAAACACATAACTTCTACTTGCTGACCACTTTATTAGAAACACCAGCCTCATAGTTCCACTTGCTGGACACTTTATTAGAAACACCTAAATTGTAGTTCCACTCATTGGCCACTTTATTAGAAACATCCACCTTGTACTTCCACTCACTGGCCACTTTATTAGAAACACCAACCTTGTACTTCCACTCACTGGCCACTTTATTAGAAACACCTACCTGGTGCTTCCACTCGCTGGCCACTTTATTAGAAACATCTACCTCGTACTTCCACTCACTGGCCACTTTATTAGAAACACCTGCCTCGTACTTCCACTCGCTGGCCACTTTATTAGAAACACCTACCTCGTACTTCCACTCACTGGCCACTTTATTAGAAACACCTGCCTCATACTTCCACTCGCTGGCCACTTTATTGGAAACACCCATCTTGTACTTCCACTCACAGGCCACTTTACTAGAAACACCTACCTTGTGCTTCCACTCACTGGCCACTTTATTAGAAACACCTACCTTGTGCTTCCACTGGCTGGCCACTTTATTAGAAACACCTGCCTCATACTTCCACTCACTGGCCACTTTATTAGAAACACCTACTGGTGCTTCCACTCACTGGCCACTTTATTAGAAACACCCACCTTGTGCTTTCACTGGCTGGCCACTTTATTAGAAACACCTGCCTTGTACTTCCACTCACTGGCCACTTTATTAGAAACACCTGCCTTGTACTTCCACTCGCTGGCCACTTTATTGGAAACACCTACCTTGTACTTCCACTCACTGGCCACTTTATTAGAAATATCTAACTTGTGAAAACAATTCACAGCTCTTCACAAAGACAGCCGTGCCAAGATAAAATGGGACAACTTCACCCTTCTTGTTATCAAAAAAATGTGTGCTTGCTCATGAAGAAAATCCTGTTGTGGTTTTGTAAATCCTGCACATTTCCAGCCAGATATATTCAAAGTTATTCAAGAACAAATGCATAACTCAACTAAAGGGCCTCCAAAACAGGTGGAAAAAGCATTTAACGTCCATTAATGACCATATCTCATATTAGTTTAGATGGGTTTTTGTAAATATTCTGTAAAGCTTGTCGTCCTGCATAGCAACAGTTGCTACCATAGAACACATTTGTAGGTGGAGTTTGGAAAGATCAACTGCTGTTTGAAGCCAGCAGTGAGTCAGCGCCTTGACTCTGATCTTAAAGGGTATCCATGTTATATTGACACGAGTGCCAATATATCTGTGTTAGAACGCATTTTTCAAAATATCCACCGTTTATCTACTATTGTGACATTGTTTCCTGTATAGAGGGTCATGACCTTTAGTTTGACATATATTGACTTGACGCTGGACTTTTATTCCATTTGAAATGTCAAATTTGATTCAATAAGAACAGCTTTAGCTTTAGACAACCTGTTTCATCATCAACCAGTGGAATATTCTTTATTTTACTTTGTTTTTTTTTTTTTTATATCCATCCATGCCTTCATTCCAGCTCAGTAATCCATAAAGTCTTCCAAAAAAACTCAGATTAATATGAACAGCATGAGCAGCTGGAAACATCTGTTCTGAAAAGAGATTAGAGTTGGCGTGAGGTAGCTGGTGTTTCCATTTAGAGCTGTGAGAGGATTGCTGCTGCTTTGACAAGAGTACGCATAGCTTCAGAAAGGTCACCGGCGTGACATCAAAAGACAGCAAATGGCTCGGTGCACGCTGCTTTAAAAAAATTGCTGTTGTTATATCTGCATGTGCTCCAGCTTTCTGACCACATGCTCCCAGAACATTCTGCGCTTTATTTTCACAAAGGATTGTTTTTCTTTTAGAAAGGAGCATTTTTAATGTTCTAAAGATTT